AGAAAATAAAACCCCCCCCCCCCCCCCACAAAAAAAAAAAACAAAAATCTCGAGTTGATGATGCATGAATTAAGCTGAATTTAATGTCCCACAGAACAGACAAAATAGCATTTTGTTTCGTTATTGGCTGCTGAATAGCGTATTCTATTGAGCTATTGAAAATCTGGGGGTCACCATTCGTGGTATCAATATCCAATTTATCTCATGTTTAAATACCAGAAAAAAATAAATTAAATAATTTTAATTACAATTCGTGAAATTCCTTCAAATAATTTCATTGTCGAGCCGAATCAAGTCTAATCGAGCAGTATTAGACATTGGAATTTTCTTCTAACACCGTGGGTTGTTATTGATTCTGTACAAGACTACGAAAAGTGACTGAGAAAGCAAAGGATTCGGGCTCAAAAAGTGACATCAGGTAGGAAAATATTATTCAAGTTTAAGGACGGCAAGAACAGTGCTGGCAGACTCAAGTGGATTGGGCCAGACTCTTGTGAGCCTTGCCCAGCAGATAGAAGAGTAAAATGCTACATGTATAGAAAAAACACCAGGAAAATTGCAGAATGTCAAGTGGCATATTTCCAATAGACTTTGTACAAAAAACAGATTTGAAACAATCAATCAAAATCTGCCTTGTCAGCACTTGACAATTTCCCGAGCATTGTCCCAAGTACAAACAGCTTTAGGCCCTATTTGTGAGCGATTACTTTCTTGTTATGTATTATGAAATAATAAATTGATAGAAAATATATAATCATAAAAGAAGTTTTTTTTTTTATTTGCATGTAATATTATTATAATTAAGAATGTGTGATTGGAAATAAGTGCTATAAGAAAGATAATAGAAAAGAATGAAAGAAAATTGGGCTCAAACAGGGGCTTAGTCTATGAGCAATTCTGCAAGTACAGAATTGCATTTTACAGAATACCAACAAATAAGATAGGAGGGTTGGATATTTTTGGCATTTTTTATCACATAGGACTCGCACAATATGAGATTCTGGTGCAATTCTACAGAACGGTCTCTGTACAAATTGAATAATTGTTAGTCTATGCACATTTAACATTGTCATTCCAGCAAAGAAATTATTCAAATTGTACAAATATGCCACAGTTCCCTCCTTATTCAGCAAGATTTTAAAAACCCAGAAAGTATCACAAAGCTGTCAAGTTTTATACCGTAAAAAAATGTTAAATCATACATCACACCACACCCCGACATTTTATACTGAGGATTGGGCGACCCATTCTGAAGCAAATCCATCTGCAGACTTCCAAAAACGACACCACCAATGTAGAATAAGTTAAAAGAGAGGGGATCTTGATCCTTCCTATGGCCTCGTATGTTCATCACAGATTCACAGGAAAGCCTCATCTATCAAGAATAGGCTACGACTGCTGCTGCATTGATGCTTGAATGAGAGAGGTAAGAGACGGATGAATTCTTGCCCTTCTTATTGAGCGGGCTTCACTTCTTCCTTCAGTGTATTCCTCGCCCAGTGGCCATCTTGGCCTCAAATCAAGCTGATTCATCAAAAAACTGAGTCAATACCATATATTTCAGATATATAAAATCACAGAGTATCAAACAATGGTAAAGAAAGACGACACAATGGTAAAGAAAGACGACATCCATGGTAAAGTATGCATCTTTGAAGCGAGTGGTTAGACCACACATTTGTTCTTGTTTAAGACAAAAATATCCTTATCCAGAGAAAGAAAGAGAGAAGGGAATGGAAGACAGAGAGAGAGAAATAGAGATGGAGCCAGCAAGAAGAGAGGAGAATTTGGGAGGAAAATTTCAAAATATCAATTCAAAATAGTCTATTAAATTGAAGTCTTATTTTCCCCTTTTATAGTCATTCATCGCTACTTAGAATAAACTCCTAGTTAATCAGAACTAATCAAACCTCGTCTGAATCAAAACTCTATTTTTCGCAACATTTCTCCTAACGTATATCTGGCCTTGCTTAATATCCAGGAAGAAAAAAGCTGGCCTTTTTGAGCTTTGGCTTTTATGCAAGGCCAAACACGATCTTAGTTCTGTCATTTCTTTAGCAAACCAACAACAATAGCACATGATTAGACTTTAGAGAGAGAGAGAGAGAGAGACCACTGCATCTTCGGGTTCATTGGTGGGTGGTGGAGGATCAAATCTTCCCATGCGGAAATGCTCAATGCCAGTCCAAGCAACCATTACGCCTACCATAAAACAGCAAAGACAAATATTTCAAATAAGATTATTAACATCTTATTTTTAAGAAAATATTTCAGTAGTCCCAAATGTATGTATACATTTTCCAACCAAGTTCCCAAAGAAAAGATTAGAATGACTCTTCCCTACTGCTTTGTGCCACATAAAGGTGTCCAAACTGAGCCTAAGTCATTATCAACAACAGCAAGACTATAATCCGCAATAATATGAAGAACCGGAGTTCAATTACAGAAACCGTTAAAAGTATGATGCAGAAGATTAGTTCCAATTCAAATTTCATGTCAATAAGCTGAAGCCAAGCAACCAATTACAGTAAAATGCTGAAATTTTCATTTGTTAAAGAGAGCTTTTGCTGGAACCAAGTATCCAACTCATCTCCTTTGTGCAGTTGATTGTCCCATTTTAAGGTTTTGAATTTTGTAAATCACTTTTGACCTCAAAGAAAATCGTATATCACACCAATACCATTGACTTTTAGCCATGACTCACAAGGGACTCGTTTCTGCCACTTCATTGCATACAACATGACAAACATGAAAAAGAACCATCTCACCATTGTCAGTACAAAGTTTGGGGGGAGGGCAAACGAGTTGCAGGCAATTTTTTTCCACAATTTGATTAAGACGAGCCCTGACATACTGGTTAGATGCAACACCTCCAGAGACAACCTGACAAAGATAAAATTTGGTTTTATGCAACACCATATCCATGGAGGACTTTAAACAATAACAATCCACAAAAGAATGCATTTCACATACCAAATGTTTTATTGAAGGTTCAATCTTTGACGCCCACTCAATTGCCCGTTCACACTTTTCCTCTAAATGCAATACTGCAACTCGCTGCAATACGCATTTTTTTAGATGAACAAATTAAAAATTGAGGAAAATGGAATGAATTAAGTGGTTTACAGTCACTCTACCCACAAGGCATATGCTTATCAAGAAGAACCAAATAACCATAACTAATTACCTGGAAAGAGGCAGCAATATTAGCCCTTTCCTTTCTGTCTTCACTAGAAGCTGAAGAAACTGGGATTTCAGGATTGCTGCACACATATATAGGTATGTCAACTGGTAGGGAGGTAGTCGACCCTTACACTTAGCGTGCTATATTTCTAAAATGAGAGATTGCTTCATTGTAACTGCAAGGAAAATGCTGCAGTTACTGAAATCAGAATGCCATGAAAGGTAAAAAAACATGTGATGGTGGGTCCAACATGCTTTGTGCCTTTCAGCACAGACCGATTTCTGTATGAACAATATAGTGCTATGCGTAATACCACATTAGGCACCATCAACTGTGCAATTAGCCAATTCGAAACAGGTATATATTGAGAAAACATAATCAACTAGGCAGTGATAAAACAAAATATAGAATAAATTTGATTATCATCCAATATATATTTAAAAAATACGTGAGCGAAAACTCCTTACATCTAACATAATGATGGAAAATGTAATGCCATCAGCTTTCATCCTGTCAAAGAAAGTTAGAAGCAATAGACTTGGAGCAGATAATACAATGCTGGAGCATGGTATTACTTGATGCTTGGGAAATTTAAATGTCATAGCTTTCTCGAGCTGGAGGACAGCTATCAACCAATAATTTCCCTTTTCCCATTTGCACGGGGAAACCAATCCAGAGCACAATCATCCACAAATCAGATAAGAGTTTTGATCTCATTTTACCGACGACACTATTGACATGAAAATCATAAACAAATACATCTCTTCTCTGTCACTAAAACCAATCACCTACCACTAAGCATAAACAAAATTCACAGTTCATCAATCAATCTACTTCCAATTTCCTTAGAGAAGCAGGACGTTAGCAACACCACAGTAGTACATATAAAAACTAAACGCAGCAAAGATGGTAATGTGCGTATTTTAAAGAGTAAAAAAGGCAGAGTAGCCAGAAAGTTTGAGCAGGACGTAATTGACGGAGGTAACTATTGATTTCGTGAACGAGACACTTACATACTTCCAGATTCAACTGCCAACCTCACTTGAGTCTTCAGGCCTGCGTATGAAAAGTTGCAGTCTTTATGTTGCTTCATGGGGACCTATGGAACCATTTAAGTCAAGCTTGTAGTCCATGTCAATATTGAATTCATAAACCGGCCATTCAAACAAGAAAATGAGAAACATCACATGGATGTTAAGGAGTAGCCTGCCTTAAATTTGATGGAGTTGGCATCACCTTCTCGAGCTAGATCCTCTACAGCTGGGCCCCCACTCTTCCTCAAATCAAGACCAAGCCACTTTGCTGTCTTGTCATATGCCTCGCCAATTGCATCATCTATTGTGGTCCCAAGTTGTACATAATTGCCAAGATCGCGTGCAAGAATCAGAAGATTGTGGCCTCCTAGAAACACAAGTGGAAAACAAATCAAATAAGCTTCATGAACGGATATGAGTTATTGAAAAGCCAAGTCTTTCTAAAGGACAAAATCCTGTAAGGCTTCTCTTTCCAGAGAACTTTAAGGTTGAGAAATTAACTGTAACGACCAAAGTTTCCTCTGGTCTTGTAACTATCTTTGTCATAAAAAAACTAGACATCGTGATTCTTTCTATACATAAAACTGCGAAGAGCCGCTCATAAGTTAACAAAATTTTATTGCAGTCTTCAAAGTTCAAACTATCCTCGTCCTCAGCAGACCAGGTACTGGGATTCTTTCTACACATAAAACTGCAAGTATTTTAGCCTCTCATAAGCCTCCAATTACAGTGTCCCGGTCATTGTGCAGGCTCATGGTGACAATCATAATCACTCACTGAAACTCTTTATATATCCCCAACATTAAATGATGCAAATAACATAATTTGACAACAAATAAAATGACATAATTTTGGCAGTAATGGTCATACCTGAAATAAGCAAAACCAAAAACGGAAACTGCAACTCTCCCTGCACTAACCTAAAGGAAAGCAATGCATCATGCCAAGGTAGGAAAGCAACGTTTCAAAAGCCCATGTATATATGAAAACCAGCAAGTTTTTCTTTTCTCGGTTTTCTTTTATTTAACAATAAGTAGAGATGTTTAGGAATTCACACTACACTATCAATGGTCTTCCTTGGATGGTTCTGTACTTAACAGAACATCAAGTTCCATATATTCAAAAGTAAAGGATTAAAGATTGTTATTACACCTGTAGTTGACCCACCTCCATCGTCACTTTTTTCAATCTAACATTCTCAAACATGGATTACGTGTAGCTGGTTTGTATTAATACCTATTGATTACGTTTACACCCTGGACAATACCACCTAAGTTAATGCACCTTGTTTAAGACAACCAAAATTACACCAGTGAGTAATAAATCACATTAGCTGACCAATCATATTATTCATATCGTTTCAGTTCATAATTACAAAAATTTCACGAAATTCACATAATTACCTGGCCACTAAAGCATGGGCTTCCATGTGATGGACACCAACAATGGGTAAAGCATAAGTACCGGCAAGCTTCCGAGCCTTTTGCACACCAACTGCATGCACTCAAGAATACAGTGATGCCATAAAGGACCATGTTTCAGAACTTTAATTCGAAGCAAAAGGTAAAAATAACCCGAAAATATAATGATATGATTGCATTTCTAACTGTGTACTCAACTAATTGTGGAGCAATCGTTTACCATAGCTACATTGAGCCACAGAAGAAAGGAATAAGAACAGGGTCAAAAAGTGGGGAAAAGGAAAACAGAAAAGAAAGATAGAAAAGGAAGATAAAAGGAGAAGAGAATAATCCAATGACAAATTACCACGTAAACAAAGGCTTAAGCCAGGACCAATAGTGACAGCAACTGCGGAAAGATCACTTTCAGATAGGTTAGCTTTATCAAGAGCTTCTTGCACTACCTGTAATCAGAAAGCACAGTAAGATCACAGACAGAACCAAAATACCAGTACTAAAACTGTGTTTATGAAATGTGCATCATGCAAAAGCATAAAAGTCAACGATCAACTGGCATCCATGAGTGAATCATGTTATTATATACACACCTAAAGAAAGAAGCGGATGATCACAGAATTGAAGTGTGATGCATTAGCATAGAATTCACTGCGGGATTGAGGGATAATTGTAAGTTGAGATACTTACAGAAACGAAATTAGAAAACCAGAATCAGCGAAGGACTTAAAAATGCCGACCACAAAACGAGGAATGCATTCATGATTCACAATAGTGTTTAGGATGCAAGTTTTACATGAATTGACGAGCATGGAAATAGAACTGCATAGTGGGCCAAGCATGTGCTATGAACAAAGCAGAATATCAGCAAAGAATTTATGTACATATTATAATTAAGAAAGAAGAAAAGGGAGCGGAGATCTGCCGAAACAGATTTTACAACTTGATTATTCACGTGGATATAGGACGACTAACTTTTATTAAGAAAAATTAATAGAAATAATTCTATCATTAAATGCATTGCTGGATGAAGACTAGATATGGTCAAAAGTTTTGTGAATGGTACAAGTAGTTAACGAGTAACACAATATGTGGAAGATAAGTACTTACTCCTAGGAAATACCTGATCAATCACTTTTGAATGAGCTTCTTCAGCCATTTTTGGAGCAACTCCTCCATATTGGACCAGAAGATCGGCCTGGTGAAGTTTAAAAGAAATAAATTACAACTATCTACCTATTGTAAATGGCGGTTCCCGCGTAGATTGCAAAAGCACAATTGTTTCTAGGATGTTTCATGAACAGAAGATAATCTAAACACTTTGGCATTGCCATATCAAAATATATGAAACCTAAAATGATTCAGAAAGTACAAATTAATTTTGCTATGATAAATGCAAAAACTAGAAATATATAATGTCCAAGACAACTCAGCAAGGGTATCAAAGGTCAAATTCTGCGTGTAATCAGGTTGCTGAAAAGAAGCTAAATTATTAAGATCAGAGATTATTATTAATCATTTAAATTCAGAGCAACTCACGGTCCACTCTCCATTCCTGCGACTAAAATGTGCTTCTTTCCAAAATGTCTTGGCAGAACCAACTAACATATTGTTAGTATGCAATCATGATTGTAACAATCACTCTTTCATCTTCTTCTAAAATACCCAAAGTTCATTTATTTGCCTATATTACAATCTAATCCATTCATCACAAGTTTAGTTTCACTTGAGCCTCAACTTCTAATACTCACAGCCCGTTTGGGATACTCAATTTGGGGGTTTTGTAGAATATACTTGCAGGTAGTAAAGAAACTTGGAGATGGTATTATCCAAGAAGTATTTACTCTGTCATACAGCATATGCCCCATAGATTTCCATCCTATACAAATGGAAAAGGAATAATGAATTTAATTGCCTCTTTCTCAATATTTACAACATTTTCAACCATTTCTTACTTCTTCGTTGTTCAGACTCCAGGAAGGAGAGGAGATGCCACTAATGATGTCTAAGAAGGTAATGGTGATAAAAACCGGTAATCAAGACTGCGATAAGATCCCAATCAAGTAAAGAAATGTAATATTTAGGCCACATAATCTGACTTGGTTAAGTGATATACCCAATCATTCAGTTTTGAGGATAATATTTCAGATGTTTGAGCAGTATAAATAACATCACATTTTAAAATCTGTTTAATATCAATAAGAGCACTTGATCATGAAGAACAGCAATTAAATATATTAAAAAAAGAATGCTCAAACAAAAATCACAATCGTTAAGTAATTAAGTAAAAATCATAAGAAAAGCTGAAAAGGGTTTAAAAAAAAAAAAAAAAAAAAAGGGATCACTTTTGAGTGAGCTTCTTCAGCCATTTTTGGAGCAACTCCTCCATATTGGACCAGAAGATCGGCCTGGTGAAGTTTAAAAGAAATAAATTACAACTATCTACCTATTGTAAATGGCGGTTCCCGCGTAGATTGCAAAAGCACAATTGTTTCTAGGATGTTTCATGAACAGAAGATAATCTAAACACTTTGGCATTGCCATATCAAAATATATGAAACCTAAAATGATTCAGAAAGTACAAATTAATTTTGCTATGATAAATGCAAAAACTAGAAATATATAATGTCCAAGACAACTCAGCAAGGGTATCAAAGGTCAAATTCTGCGTGTAATCAGGTTGCTGAAAAGAAGCTAAATTATTAAGATCAGAGATTATTATTAATCATTTAAATTCAGAGCAACTCACGGTCCACTCTCCATTCCTGCGACTAAAATGTGCTTCTTTCCAAAATGTCTTGGCAGAACCAACTAACATATTGTTAGTATGCAATCATGATTGTAACAATCACTCTTTCATCTTCTTCTAAAATACCCAAAGTTCATTTATTTGCCTATATTACAATCTAATCCATTCATCACAAGTTTAGTTTCACTTGAGCCTCAACTTCTAATACTCACAGCCCGTTTGGGATACTCAATTTGGGGGTTTTGTAGAATATACTTGCAGGTAGTAAAGAAACTTGGAGATGGTATTATCCAAGAAGTATTTACTCTGTCATACAGCATATGCCCCATAGATTTCCATCCTATACAAATGGAAAAGGAATAATGAATTTAATTGCCTCTTTCTCAATATTTACAACATTTTCAACCATTTCTTACTTCTTCTTTGTTCAGACTCCAGGAAGGAGAGGAGATGCCACTAATGATGTCTAAGAAGGTAATGGTGATAAAAACCGGTAATCAAGACTGCGATAAGATCCCAATCAAGTAAAGAAATGTAATATTTAGGCCACATAATCTGACTTGGTTAAGTGATATACCCAATCATTCAGTTTTGAGGATAATATTTCAGATGTTTGAGCAGTATAAATAACATCACATTTTAAAATCTGTTTAATATCAATAAGAGCACTTGATCATGAAGAACAGCAATTAAATATATTAAAAAAGAATAAAAATCACAATCGTTAAGTAATTAAAGTAAAAATCATAAGAAAAGCTGAAAAGGGTAAAAAAAAAAAAAAAAATAGGGGTAAAAAATTTGATAAATTGGATATGTAAAAGGTAGAAATGAAATACCACTCCAACAACGTCTTAAATTTCCAATTCTTCTATCCAAAGAGCATCCTCCCTCCCCAACACACACATACAGCAAAACAAGCGCAATCATTACATAGTATACAATACCTGAGAAGAAACAACTTGACTAAGAATTTCACCATTGCTTCGGACCTATATATCGAACACAAATGCAGTCAAAAGAACAAAATTTTAATCATGAATGAAACAAAAATAACCAGGACCCACAAAAGAACAATACAGTAAAAGAAAAACCCACCAACCTGTAAATAAGCATGCCAAACATAAAACTTACTACGGCAAACAGAAGTGTCTCGCAGCTAGTTTCAATGCCCAGAACAAAACTAGATAAACATGGGAGCCTAACAGGCTCTTTATTTGGGTACTGGCGGGAGAAGAAAATGGGCAGAAAAAGAATTGGGTGAAGTATTGAGAAAAATGGCATATAGATTTGCTTAATTCATGGCGAACTTACATTTTTCTGACCGTTCTGGTAAATCAAAAATAGTTGCATTTGAAAGAATCAAACTTTAATCATTAATATCACAAAGTAAAATAAAAAAGTACACTTGGTACAAGTAAATCCACATCCCAAAAAAATACGAGACTTACTACGGCTGCAGCGGTGTCATCGCAACTAGTTTCAATACCCAGAACAACAAGATCATCATCTGAGCCTACTGTGCTTCTCATTTGAGCAGAAGAAAAATGGGCAGAAAGAGAACTGGGCGAAGAGTTGATAAAAGGCCGTATGCGCTTGCTTAATTTCTGCTTAAATCGGAAATTTTTGAGAGTTGTGATTGCAGAGTGGAGCGAGGGTTTGTGAAGATGGGTTAGGCGGGAAATTGTGGAGGAAAGCGTGGGAGCTAAAGACGCCATTGAGATAGAATTTCTGTAACCCCCGCGGCTTTACGAGCTTCTTTACCTGAGGGTGTAAATGCAATATTTTTAAAAACCTGGGGCAATTATGACCTTGTCAAACAAACTTGGGTCAGAGTATTGGAGTCAACCAAATATTTTTAATTTTTTATATTTAAAATTGTTTATGTAGTTTAACCCTTCGTTGGTAGTTTGGTTTAGATAGAAACTTCGATTAAAATTAAAATTTTAACTACACATTTTATTAACTTCACAATTTTTAAACAAGGACTTAATATTTTTGAAATACTTTCTTCCGAGCCATTTTGATTATACGAGAAGTGAGAACGAAATATTATTCCAAAACATGAAATGGTAAAATATATTTTCTCATGAGCTTGTACTTTCTACAACTAAAGAATTTGATCCAATTTCCTCGTGTGTTTCGGTATATAGAACAACTTTACAACAAAATCTATGTTGAATTTGGTATTTGTTTGGTAGAGATTTTGATAATTGATTTTTTGATTATTAGAGATAAAATAAGTCCTACTCGTGAGAGAAGAATTAAAAAAAAAAAAGACTGGAATAATGAAATAATGATCAAAAAATTGATTTTAATTATCTTAAAATCTAAATCAAATAAGCTCTTGATATGATAATTGACAAATTTTATTACATGTCTCTCTAACTTTTATCCGTTCAATTTTACGGAGTCTTGTACATGAACCGATGAATCCAACCCAGACTTCACTACTTCCGAGCTTCAATTTTGCAACAAAAGAGAAAAAGAAATACATGTTTTTTGCTCCACAAGTACAAGCAAATCCACCTTCTCGTGTGGTAGATAGTAGCTTGAAGTTCGTACTTGTGCTGATTCTTTCTGGTTATTTTGATATCTTTGCTGTCAATTCTCTTACGAGCTTGGCAGCAACCATGGCTGTCATTCCATCAACAGTATCGCGCTGCGGGTTGAATTCAACAACATCTGCAGCTACAACATCACCTTTAAGGTTGTGAAGTATGTTGCAAACGTCGCGAAAAGAGAGACCTCCTGGCTCAATGTGAGAAACGCCGGGGGCAAATGCCGGATCCAGACAGTCCACATCTACTGAAATGTACACACCCTTTACGCCTTCACCAAGTTTCTGCCAACAAAAAGGTAGAAATGAAAGATAGGACATCGACATTCCAAGGAAAAAGCTAGTAAAACATGGTCCTCTTCCATTGTTATCGTCCTTTATCATCTCCAATAACAAACTAGTTTAACATACTTCAATTTGAAATGCATGAAATACGAGCGACAGGCCTACTAACCATCAAAAATATTTTAGTTAACAAAATTTTACCAGAACCATTGCTCGTTTCTTCCACAAAATCCTATATAAAAGTGGGACCTGCACTATTAACAAGCTGTGCGAAAAACCGCTTCCTTTTTCTGGTTCCAAAACAACTTGGGCGACATAGGCGGCCACTGGGATGGAAAAAAGTAACAAACACGAGATGCAACACGAGTCTAATCTTCAAAGGCAATAGGATATATGGACCAACTACATGTCACCGAAGCTAAATAAAATCCTCTAAAACTGTCCAACTTTTCTATTCTTGTGGAACAATCTTTGCAAATCAATTACCTATTAGCGAACCCAATCAGTATTTAAAATGTTAATCATTTCAGGTTGTGGTGCTAAGTTCAAAAAAAAAAAAACGATAATCTAATAACAAAACAAGATCGTGGTGAAAGAAATGAAAACAACAATGACTAAGAAATGATATTCATAGGCAGGAGAAAGATAGTCACCAGATTCTCCAACAACTGGCGATCCCTTGAAAATGTGCGCATTTCATATTGCTCCACACCAAACTTTTTCCCTTGTTCACGGCCTTCCTTTGTAATTGATCTGATTCCAACCTGCAGCGGTACAGCAATTTGTTTTTACTAATTTCCCTTCTCCTAGAAAGCAGAAATTTTCCAATTTTCAACTTTTAAAATGAAAAGGAGTTCCAGACTACATCATATGATCTTTGGAGGCTTTGCATTGCCATATCAAAATATATGAAACCTAAAATGATTCAGAAAGTACAAATTAATTTTGCTATGATAAATGCAAAAACTAGAAATATATAATGTCCAAGACAACTCAGCAAGGGTATCAAAGGTCAAATTCTGCGTGTAATCAGGTTGCTGAAAAGAAGCTAAATTATTAAGATCAGAGATTATTATTAATCATTTAAATTCAGAGCAACTCACGGTCCACTCTCCATTCCTGCGACTAAAATGTGCTTCTTTCCAAAATGTCTTGGCAGAACCAACTAACATATTGTTAGTATGCAATCATGATTGTAACAATCACTCTTTCATCTTCTTCTAAAATACCCAAAGTTCATTTATTTGCCTATATTACAATCTAATCCATTCATCACAAGTTTAGTTTCACTTGAGCCTCAACTTCTAATACTCACAGCCCGTTTGGGATACTCAATTTGGGGGTTTTGTAGAATATACTTGCAGGTAGTAAAGAAACTTGGAGATGGTATTATCCAAGAAGTATTTACTCTGTCATACAGCATATGCCCCATAGATTTCCATCCTATACAAATGGAAAAGGAATAATGAATTTAATTGCCTCTTTCTCAATATTTACAACATTTTCAACCATTTCTTACTTCTTCGTTGTTCAGACTCCAGGAAGGAGAGGAGATGCCACTAATGATGTCTAAGAAGGTAATGGTGATAAAAACCGGTAATCAAGACTGCGATAAGATTCCAATCAAGTAAAGAAATGTAATATTTAGGCCACATAATCTGACTTGGTTAAGTGATATACCCAATCATTCAGTTTTGAGGATAATATTTCAGATGTTTGAGCAGTATAAATAACATCACATTTTAAAATCTGTTTAATATCAATAAGAGCACTTGATCATGAAGAACAGCAATTAAATATATTAAAAAAGAATAAAAATCACAATCGTTAAGTAATTAAAGTAAAAATCATAAGAAAAGCTGAAAAGGGTAAAAAAAAAAAAAAAAAATAATAATAAAATTATTTACTTATTTTTTATTATTGTTATTATTATTTATTTAATAATTATAATTTTTTTAAAACTTTTAAACAATTGAATTTAAAAGCCAAAATATTGTTTAACCACTTATTGGACCACAAATATATAGAGAACAATTCCAAAGACTTTGTTGTAAACTTCCGATGTGGGATAATTGAATTACTTTTACCAACAAATAATTCGTTTTTAATTACCAATAGAATATCCGTAGGTGAAAGATTCAAATATTAAAGGGTCATATTAGACACAGAATATTCATTGGTAAAGAGATATTATTATTACCAATGGAATATTCGTTGCTGATCATTGTAGTTAAAAGTGAATTACTTTTATTAACGAATAATCCGTTTCTAATTACCAACGGATTGTTTCCATTGGTAATATTTAGTACGTCGCCTACGGAATATCTGTAGGTGAAAGTTCCAAATGTTAAACGGTTATATTAGGCACGGAATATCCGTTGGTAAAAGAATATCATTGTTACCAACGAAAAATCCGTTGCTGATTATCGTAGTTGAAAGTGAATTATTTTTTACCAATGAATAATCCATTTCTAATTACCAACGGATGCAATTCGTTGGTAATTTTTCGTAGGTGAAAAGCCCTTTTTTAGTAGTGCCCCATCGTCATCGTCATCGTCATCATTACCGTGTTGCCATTCCGCTATGAGATTTCAAAGAGGAAATTACAGCCCATCATACCTCAAAGATTTGTGTTCTAAAATCAGGTAAAAAGTTTCACATTTCATAAATAAGATATTTCATATTTAAAAAGTAAAAATTAAATATACAGTTTTCATCCCAAAATATCCTATCCTTTCTCTCTCTAAATAATTTCCACCTAATCTCAAACACAAAAATCTCAAATCTCCCTTTTCTCTAAAAATTACTCACACTGCCCTCATCTCTCTTTCATATCTCCCGTGCCGATCAACCGCTTCCATAATCTTCAACGTCAATCAACAGCTTCCATTATCTTCAGCGATTATCCATTCATTCACTAGTGATTGTGTGCACGAGTGTAGTAGCGAGGCGTCGCTCGCAATAGCATCAGCACCGGTACAACAACGTTTGCTACGTGTAGCATCAATCGTAACGGTGCAATGCGATCTATTTGTTTGATATGGTGTTGATGGCAGACGGTTGTAGTGTTACAATGGTAGTGGTGATGGAGTCAAGTGTTTTTTTTTCCAGCTATTGTTGTGGTTGTGGTATGATGGTGATGATGGATTTGTGGAGAAGAAGGTGGTGGTGATTGTTGGTACTTGCAGTGATGGCGATAAGGACCTTTTTTTTTAATAGATCTATTGTGCGATGGTCAGTAATGATGGTGGTGGTAGTTGTGCAAGTGCTTTATAGTGGTGATGGCGGCGCAGTGTTTGGATGTACTGGTATTGTTACAGGTGGTGTTGGTGGTCGACAGTGGCATTGGTTTGATTTTGGTATGTTGTAGTGGCAATGGTTCGTTGGTGGTGGTGATATGATAGTTTTGTTGGTGTTTACTGCCATTGTCATTTTATGAGGTATGGTAATCGTAATGGTGATAGTGATGATCTCCAATAACAAACTAGTTTAACATACTTCAATTTGAAATGCATGAAATACGAGCGACAGGCCTACTAACCATCAAAAATATTTTAGTTAACAAAATTTTACCAGAACCATTGCTCGTTTCTTCCACAAAATCCTATATAAAAGTGGGACCTGCACTATTAACAAGCTGTGCGAAAAACCGCTTCCTTTTTCTGGTTCCAAAACAACTTGGGCGACATAGGCGGCCACTGGGATGGAAAAAAGTAACAAACACGAGATGCAACACGAGTCTAATCTTCAAAGGCAATAGGATATATGGACCAACTACATGTCACCGAAGCTAAATAAAATCCTCTAAAACTGTCCAACTTTTCTATTCTTGTGGAACAATCTTTGCAAATCAATTACCTATTAGCGAACCCAATCAGTATTTAAAATGTTAATCATTTCAGGTTGTGGTGCTAAGTTCAAAAAAAAAAAAACGATAATCTAATAACAAAACAAGATCGTGGTGAAAGAAATGAAAACAACAATGACTAAGAAATGATATTCATAGGCAGGAGAAAGATAGTCACCAGATTCTCCAACAACTGGCGATCCCTTGAAAATGTGCGCATTTCATATTGCTCCACACCAAACTTTTTCCCTTGTTCACGGCCTTCCTTTGTAATTGATCTGATTCCAACCTGCAGCGGTACAGCAATTTGTTTTTACTAATTTCCCTTCTCCTAGAAAGCAGAAATTTTCCAATTTTCAACTTTTAAAATGAAAAGGAGTTCCAGACTACATCATATGATCTTTGGAGGCTTTGCATTAATGGACAATAAAGCTGGAGGTCTAAAGTATGAATAGGCAAACACAATTGATCTGAAATTTCAACTGCTATATTTCTAATTTCGGTACAACTTTTATTAGTAAGACGTGTATTACCCAAGAAACCTGTTAAAAGAAACCATAAACTTGGTCTGCATAAATTCAAAACTTGGTTTTGATGTAGATATAAAATATAACACAATATATATGACAGTGATTCACAAATTCAGATTACCTGCAAAAGTCTCCGAGCATAACCACCCTCCATAATTCTTGCAAAAGAAGATGCATGAGAATATATGTTTCCCTCAAAAGCATGATATATATCAGGATGAGCATCCAGGTGAAGAATATCGACAGGTCCCCCAAGCTTCTCAGATACAGCTCTCACCACTGGAAATGAAATGGAGTGGTCACCCCCTAACACTAAAGGGCGTAATGGATCCTGAAGATTGATTAAATAAATATTAATAGTGTTTAAGATAATGTACAGATTCTAGAAATAAAATGTAAAAACTAAAGCCAAGGCTATTGGCTTTCAATGGAAGAGAAGGTTCTTTATCATGTAGAAACCTTTGGAAAGGAAAGCTTACTTCTTCCATGACTAGCTTCACAGATTCAGTTATGATGTTCATCAATCTATCATCATCTACACCACAATCTCGTAACTCCTGGACTGGCACATCACCAACATCAGTCAAGACTCGTGGATCATTTAGCTCCTTACCTGCACACCCCAGGATCTTTTTACAAAAGAGAATTTATATTGACAAATATATTTAAAATTGGAAAATGGAAACTGAAATATTTAAGCTAGTGAATATTTTTGAATACATTGATGATGCACATTTCACACAGTGACAAATATCAAAACACTGGGAACACTTTTGGAGTTTGTTGATAAATTTTAGAACACGGAGTTTCACAACTGAGCAGTAATGCGGCCAAACCCGTTTGCAGGAGAAATATTGTCACGTTCCTACATAGATGGGCAATCAGGCATGACAAAAAGCAGACCACTGGGAATATTGTCAAGTTCGTTACAGGTTTCAAAAGCTCTTTATGGATGAAATCTCGTGCTGAAAAAGTTTGACGTGTGTTACATACAATTTTAAATGCAGCAAACAAATTTGAAATTTCTGTCCAGCCACCCAAGAGCACCAATAGCACCAACTCATTTTTTTAGCTAATAGATAAAATCGAGATAACTCGTTTCCTGAAAGTTAGTCCTAATTTCACAAATGTCGGCCACGAGAAGAAATATGATAAGAAAATACATGTGATTTTTTGAGAAAAAAGATGACGGCAGCATGGCATTTGAATCTAGCAGAATATTAATACTTGGAAAAATATAAAAAATTGATATTATCTAAGAAACAAGAAGACTTCATTCATAGAGCCAAAATTTATGTTCAGAAACAAATCGACCAAATGCAACGGCAAGGCTATAACAAAATTGGAAAAGATTTATGCCCAAGTTCCATACAAGCTTGAAAGAAAATATAGCTGAATCGAGAACCCTGCATTAAAATACTTAATCAGATATTCTCAGATGGAGTATAAAGCAATAAAAAGTTGTAAGCTAGTTATTAAAAATTGTAATTTCAGCCCTAATGGGTGCTGCATAACCCCACCCCCCAAGTGGGAAAAAGCTCCCCCTCCCTCTCTGCATCTCTCTGTGAGTGAATTATGAAAGAGAAAAAAGAAAACACAACAATATTTTTCCTCTGGTCTTAGAAGTCATTCTTCCTTTAAATTTTAGACATCTATGTCACAGTAAAGTGAGAGATGGGCATGATTTAATCATTTTCCGGTACCGTAACCACCATAGAACAACCAGTCACCTTGTGGAAATATCGTTTTGGGCTATCCAAAAATTTCAAACTGATATAGCTTGTTTAAAATTGTCTGAATATTTACCTTCTTCTGTTGTGGAATTTGTGCTGCCACACCATATAGCCTCTCTTATACGAGGGGGTGCAAAAGCTGGCCCCTGGAGAAATGAAGAGTTATGTCCTAGTGGAACTCCAAGTAAAGATGATGAAGCTACAACACCTCCCACAGCTCGCAAAAGTTCTCCCTTTGAAAGAGAAAAAGTAGTAATATGTAGTATTAAAAATAACTCATATAACAATATGATAATAGTAAAACTAACAGCAATTAAAAAAAAAAAATCAAATTTAAAAAGAAAAATCCCCTTGTGAGATGTACTCCTCAAAAATTTATTATAATTATTATATAATCTCATTTCAGAAAGGGAAGCATGGCAAAATTTCCTGCATGCAACTACATCAATCAGCATCAGGAGGAACTTTTAGGCAAAATACCATCATTTCATGCTATAATAACAGCATTAGCATCTTCAAATATTCATCTAATTATCTCATCTTAACTGATTTGAGAAAAAAAAAAAGAAAAAAAAAAAAGACGTGGTTTACCATGTAAAACTAAGGCATATATGACTCTTATTGAAGATGTAAAAAAAATAAATTCAATGAAGTATTTGTCTAGGTCTTAAATATTGAACTGTTGCAGAACTATGTTTCATTTTCCTCAATCCAGTTATTTATATATTTTGGAATGGGTGGGGGAGACTTGTTGATTGCAAGAAGTGCTTCGCATACCAAGACATAATGCACAGAGTAGGAGCAGAGAAAAAAAAAAGTGTGCAAATCTAGTACAGGCAGTTGGTTAGAACAAACAAAGAAAAAATTGTGTAGATATATGATCATAGACATTGTGATCCACTCAACAAATGAACTTAATTCTCTTTGAAACGAGAAAATTTACAAACTAGAACAAAAAGAAGCCCAACCATGTCTACTCGACTATTCCTAATTGTCTTGCATATATATGTAATTCTCAAATGTGAATATGCATTCATAAGGGCATAAACAATACAGCTTTTAAGGTGTCCAGAAACATAGTATTCCAGTTGTTGCCATTGGCTCCACTCATTTGTCAAGTGAAGCCTTGTGTAAAGCCTCCATTTGGCAAATTTATAAATCGGTCAATCTTCATTTCTAGCTCCACTTTTCAATGGACCCACAAGTATTATCCACTTATCCACCACTTATTTCTTTCTATATATAAATTAAAACATTTTATTTATAAATTAAATCAGTTTATAAATTCTTCCCAATGGAGGCTAAGTTATGATTTCAGAACATCAAGTGATGAAAATTCTGGCACCATAATAAATGGAATCCATAACCGAAATTCAGAGATGTGTAAGAACCAAAATTTCATTTATTCTAATTGGTTAGAGAACCAGACAATGTCAAACATGGGGCAAGATTATAGATAATTAAGTTATACCTTGAGTTTTGCCCTCTCACGAATAAGTGTAAGTGATGCCTCTATAACCCGATTCTGCCCTTTCTCTATCAAGTCTTTCGGAACATTTGCTGCATTCAACCTCTGCAAGTAATGAATTCCCATCTTCCCTATATTCTTCATTCTGGTCAGATTCTGTACTTCAAAATTTCTGTCCAAGTGAAATAACAGAAAATGTAGTAAAGATATTAACATGTTATTCTCAGAATGTAGGTAAAATATGGTAGGAGAGAAACCAAAATTTGGAGGGAATAAGAAAACTAAACTTAGCAGCTTTGAATGTATTCAATTCACATATTTATACAATTACAAAGGAAATTGTTGTGTAACCAACAATACACGTCTCACCTGTCCATATGTGAGAAGAGGGAATAAATCTGTACAGGAAACAATATTTCTAAAGGACAAATGAAATTAATCCTGGAGCTAAATAAACACTGACCAGGAATTAGCCTTAACAACTAACAACTTTCAATTACTTGAAAGATCAATTTCTCTTGCCTAATTTCTTACCACTAAAAAATCCAAACGGGCCCAATGAGAAGAGACCCTCTCTCTCTCCCTCATTTTTATGCTCCTACCTATTATCTGGATATACCAAGAAAGATGTACGGTTTAATGAGGCTACTATGAAATATTTACTCATGAGTGGGACAAGCTCTTTTATTCTGGTTGATGGTTTCTCTTGGCTATATGGTTCATCCGGGGGAGAGATCGAGCTTCAAGAAATTCCTTTCTAGTTTTAGAGTTCTCAACAACAAAACCCCCTCTATTAGAAATTAGGGGATAAGCTTCATAGTCGAGAGGGAAACAGCCCAGATCACCAGCTAAGAGAATTTTATTGATTAAATACAATGAACTTCTAAAAAATGAATTTATATCTATCTATTTAGATAGATATCTATCAGACCATTATCTAACTTTCTTTCTTTCATTTTCGAAGACCTCCAACTTGCAAAGGATAATAACATAACACTTTCCAGGCTCCAATTCATATTTCTGACCAACCTTAATTTTCTCACCAACCATTAGAATTTAGACCTGTAAAAGCTACCTGCAAATTATTCGTGTAAAAACAGCTTGGGCATTAATTTTTACCATTATTCCTAACATAAAGATCAGTTTTTTAAAAATAAAAATAGAGAAATAAATCAAAAATAATTTTCAATTCCAAAATTGATGAAAATTAAATTGAAAGGAAAATGTTGTAGTTTTATCCATTTCTCTATTGTTTCCGGTGGTATTAATGATGTCATAAAGTTAAAATTCCTTTTCAGATTATATTCTATCCAGATTGTTGTAAATTTGAGAGGGGACAACAGTGAAAGAACCAAGAACAATTTGATGCTAACAGAATATACAAGTATCTCACCAAAAGCAACCAACTGACTGCGAATCTAAGCATCCAGGACTGGGATCGCCCTGATTGTTCATCTACCTTTTAGTGAATGTTTGGTAGGTAGCATGGGACTGGAGTAAAGAATATAATGGACGATATTACAATCCAATAATTCCACCAAACTATCAGGTATGGGCAAATCACAAAAGGCAGGTGTGTGTGTGTGTATGCGCGCGTGAAAGAAATTGCAAGAAACAAGACGCACCTAACGGGAGAAGTAGCAAAAGGATGCAGGCAGAATAGGCAACGATTCACTTTGAATTTCTTTCTCTCTCTGTGTGTGCGGCAAAGAAGAACGAGGGTTTTAGTTTGGGGGTTAATGGGGAATTCATGCAGCTTTTTACACTGGTGGTTGCAGAATTGGCAGTGAAAGGGACGCGGCTATTGGAGCATGCGTCAGCACCACTCTGATTAAAGACTACACTTACCGAGATCGACACATCTTATTAATTTTTATTTATCAATATTAATTCGATCTTGCTGCTCCACTGAGAGATAATGTTTGCTATGCCTTAAATTGTAAAGAGGAAATTTCACATTATATCCATTTTCGCCTAATCATTTGTAAAAATGTTCACAATTTTATCAATGATCATTTTTCAATTATGTAGACGACAATACCCATGTTAGCAAATTCTATTTTCCACACAAGAATTCAAAATTTTCCATATCATTATAAATGTCAATCAACATTAAATGCCTAATTCGAGTAGGTGCGGGTCGCGTTGGGTCGGGTTATGGGTCAAAAATGGAAACATGAGAGAACCCGACCCGAATACCTAAAAGGGGAAGGGGGGCGGGGGAGGGCAGGGGAATGAAAAAATAAAAGAAACTCTAAACTAAGTCCTCTCAACTCTCACACTTTCGGTCTCTCAATCTTCACTTCGACCCAACTCACCGACAATGAGCCCGTCCGTTTCTCTCATCGTTTCCCAGTTGCCCTTTGCCGACCACACTCTGGAGTCCAATGCCGTTTGCTGACCACACTCTCAATCTTCACAAAATTTTTCACTCCAAACCAACTCGTCGACAACGAGCCCGTCCGTTTCTTTCTTCGTTTCCCAGTTGTCGTTTGCCGACCACACTTCAGAGTCCAGTGCTATAGAATAAGTTTATTTCCTTATTTTCTCACTTCCCCAAGTCTCTTCTCTTCCTAAATCCTAAGACATGTATAATTACATAAATTGATGTCAAGGTCACTGAGTGTCTCGATTCTATTGGACGAGAAAATACCAACTATTGATACAATTTGAGATAAAAAGCTGTACATGTGAGCTACTGTTGAAAAGGTTGAAGAGGTAAAGTCTTGTATTTATTGCAACGCGTTTAAAGAAATTAGGAAAATGATTGTACTTTTTGCTGTCCGTGTTATTGTATCTTTTGCTTTGAGATATAAACTACATTTCAACTAAATTTGATGCTACTAGATGATAAATAATACTAGTACAAATTGAAGAATACTCCATTTGAGACATATTTTGCATCTAAGTTAGGCAATAAACATGATGAAATGACACAGGTTGTGTTGCTATTATACACTTTTGAACTGTTTGAATGCTCATCAGCAACTAAATGGCTTTATTTTCGCATCAAATTTGTTCTGCGTCTTGTTTAGGGTTGCATTTTTATATTGATGGTTTCTCATGGAGGAAGACTGTGATAGGTTGATAGCAAATGAAAAATTTTGTCAAATCTTATGACATGTATTCTTGATTTTGCATATGGTCTGTTGTAGCTGGCTCTAAATTTATTTAAAATAAGGCTATGTTGTTGTTATTATTTTGCTAAAGAATATTGCATTTTAGGTTTATTTGCATATCTAAATTAGGCAATTAACTTAATGAAATGGTACAAGATTGTGTGTATATTCTTGAGCTATTTGAATGATGATCAACTATAAAATGGTTAACGAATAGCTTCAGATCAGAAGCCATATTTAGAATGTCAAACGACCTGCAGGAATTTGTAAAAATCCTATTTCATCTTATTTCATTTCAAACTCCTAAATGAATCAGCATCAAGATATATATAAGATCCATTTGTAAAAAACCTATTTCATATCTCATATCATTAAGTCACATGATTAAGCCACAGGAAAAAATCTATAATTAATTGCACTCTGTAAATAAATTCAATAAAATAAAGAAATCTCATTTACATATATATTGAATAATTTTTAATATTATTTAATCAAATTTTAATAAACAATCGGGCTATTATGGTTGTTCATTGTCGATGGTCAATGGATAGTAGTCAACCGCCGCCCTAACTGGACTTTGGTGTTGGATTTGCCACTGAGCAGGGTATAAGGTTTTAGAACTACCCATTCTCTATTTCTGCTTCAATAACATGAAATGTTTTAAAATATTTTGGTATTAACCGAGGTTTGTTTTAATTTCAACAATTAAATAGCTTAGTTTAGATATCATATTTTTTCAAACCATTGTATTGTAAAAATCATTTTTCTTGTATTGCATTATAAACAAGAATGCTATATTTAATTTGGTTTGTACGCTCTCATACTATTTGGTAAAGTATTGTTTTCATTTGTTTTGATTTGTAAATGAGTATGACACACCGATATCAAAATTTGGAGGAATAACATGTTCCGGCCCATGTGTCGCAGGTGAGCAATACAAAATACATATCAGCTGTCCTCAACAAATTGGATCCACAACAAAAGTGTCAGTTGGAGGAGAGTTGTATGGGACATGTTGCAAGGTTATCGGAGCTGAAACTATCCGCTCAATTAATTCATGAAATGGTAAACAGATCGGTGGTCTGTCGAAAGCGGTTTGAGGCTTGGTTCAAGGTGAACCAAAGGTTTGCACGATTTGGACTGTCGGAGTGCTCACTAATTACTAGCTTAAAGTGCGTCCAATGCCTAAAGGTACTGAAGTTGACAAAATCTTAGAGAAAACCCGTCTACAAGATAAAATGTTTGCTAATATGGATCAGATAACATGTAGCGACCTGGAGAATTTTTTTTGAAATGTGCTAACCGTAACGAACGTTACAAGCTTGGGTTGGCACTAATTATTGAAGAGGTATTTAATTCAAGAGATCGAAATATAGGAATACATCCAACAACTCTTTCCATCGTTGACGACTTGAATTTTTTCAATGTCTACTCATAGGGGACGGTATGTTTTTAACTTCTCATCAAATCACTGCTACGTGGATGGAGAAGAAAGGTGGACATGGCAAAAGTGAATGATTGTGATATGATGACTTACACGTTGTACGGATTCCCTCTTGCTGTCCGGGTATACATCTATTTTGGTTCATTTCAGTTTTTTTCATCGTACATTGTTATTTACCTCCAAATATGGTTATTACTATTATAAATGTCATGCAGATTTGGGTGTACGAGACAATCTTGGAGTTGGGAGCTCGATTCTTGAGTAAGACTTGTGACGATGTCCCGAGGATGTTGTGGTGGTCTGGCACGAAACAACCTCATTCCAGAACATATTCAGATTTTTTTGAGAAGACAGATGTAAGCGATTTACAGACGTAATTGCCTTACACTTTCGCAATATATAATATTTCATTTTAACTATTTTTCCTTCTCCTGTAGGTGCACTTGTGAGCAATGCTACGCGCAACTGTCGCAGAAGAATTACAGCCGTACTTCGTCAATCTAATTCCATTGGAAGACGCAGCTGACCCCGTTCTAGATGGTCTTGTTGCTCAATCAATAGAAATACAAGCTTGTCCAGTTGAAGATGATGTCATACGGAACGATGACAACAACCATCGATCAAATAAATCCCAGAGAGGCAACAAAGGTAGATCTCGTCATCGAGGTTTGCATCACGTTGAAGGAAGAGAAAAAGAGCATGGGGATCCGATCATTGAAAGGCTTGTGTCTTTAGATGAGATAAGAGCTATCTTGAACGAACAACGGGAGGCATTTGAGAGCAAGATGGGCAATTTGAGGGAAGAAATGAACACAAGATTCGCTAGTCTCCAAAATGATCTGGGAGGTCATGTGTGTGGTTTGAGAAATTATGTCAATGATGAGATCAATGTGCTTCAACGAAAGTTTGATAAAGTTGCTACAGAAATTGGGCAACACAATATTGGTGTTGAGTATGGTGGATTTGGTCATGATGATCACAGGGGAGACGAGCTCCAACATGATGTTTTAACTCCTAATATTTTTGTGAACAGATAGGATGTCGGAGAGGCAACCGAACCAATTGTTTGCAATATCCCTAATGTGTCCATAACGTCGGGAGGTGGGGTTGGAGTACTTGGGTTAGTATACGTTGCTTGTGATATTGTGAAAGAGGCACCAGCCATTGTACCTACAGTTGGTGTGACCGTTGATGATCAGCTAGTTCATGATAGCGTCTTTTTTGGACCTTCGATGGAAGTTGATCCACCTATACATAGACCTCGATCGTTGAGGCTGAAGAAGGCTAGTGCGAACACAAAGACGCCATACACTCGATCTAGTCGCAAGAGGAGTAACAGGGATGCGTAGTCTGTGTATTTTGGTTGACAGCACATAATGGTGATTGGATATGAACTTCAGGTTGATTCAAATTTAGAGGTTCGCATATTTTGGTTTATATGGTGGTTTTTCAATGTGTATTTTGGTTTATGTTATGGTACGTAAAATCTATTTTGGTTTACACAGTGGTTTGCATATTTTTGTTTATATGGTGGTATATAATATTTTGTGGATACAAACTTGTGGTTTATAAGTTAGTGACATGTTCGGAAGGTTGTATGTTAAAAATAGTTTATAACTTTATTATCTCCTATAGTGGATTAGGAGATATCAATGTTCTAATGAAATGTGGAGAAATACTATACTTTTAGTTGAAATGTCATTCTATACAAATGTAATGTCAATTATCCAGATTAGTAGGCATTTAATGTCGAGAACTACACATCAAATGTCAAGAAATATATTGTTTCAATATAAATGTTAACGTCCCTTATAATTTTGTTTCAATAATATGTCAACATATGTGTGATTTTTTATGTGAAAATAAAATAAACTTCAAGTTAAAAAAAATATAAATTATGTATTTTGAAACTCTTACCTATGACAACAAAAGAAAAATTCCGCCTTTCATTATCCTACTCGAACATAAAAAAAGGAGATGTAAGGAAAAATTGATTAACTCAATTAGCTTTAATAAATTAAATAAATTTATCGAACATTTTTTTTTTCAATATAAAATTTGAATCGAACAAAATGTTAATTTTTTTTGTCAATATAAAATTTTAATGGAACAAAAAGAATTAAAATGAATTTTTAGTTGAACAAAAAGTTATTTACAATAAGAAGGAAAAATGGGTGATATAATAATTTTCAAAAATAATTTCATAAATTAAACAAAAAAAAGTTACGAATATTCAATTAAAGAAATTTATAATTTGTCAAAAAGTTTCGATTATTGCAACACAAGAAGTCACAATA